TTCATTTCACAGTGATAATTGGAACTGGAAACTCTGTCACTAAGCGATGTGGTTGCAAACTGTAACACTATGTGATTGCGCCCTAGTACAACATCATTTGCAGCAGTTCCGGTGCCATCCATTTCCCGTTGACCTTGTTTCTCAGAAACCAGCAGTGAAGTCAAAAACGCTAATCATGTCATCACAGGACATTGCAACCATCAGAATTGCAAGCTGGTCACCAGGCGTCCAAATCGTGATCACGTGTCTCCAAAGATGCTGCAATGCCACTACTACAAGGATCCATCATAAGTTCCCTTCATTCAGTATGATCCTAACTTCAAACAGTTGCTGAATGAGTAGTCATTTATCCAGGACTACCTGTACTTTAGTACCTCTGTAGTCAGTCCAAAAAAAAAAACAGGCTTTCCTTGTTGCCAAATTGGGGACATGTCCTTATAGATGTGGCCATATATCAAGAGGAAAATGAGAGGGGGGGGAGAAGGAGAGAGAGTGAGTTTCAAAGCATTCAAATTATGATTTAACAGGCTGGGAATTTTGGTGCAGTAAGTAACACCAACAGAAACTGAGAAAAGGCTCTGAAAATCAGGCATATTGTAGTGGGAATATCATGCCTGGGTATGATGATCGACAGCATATTTCTGATAGGGTGGGGGGCACTTTTACATGAAACAAATAATGGGCAGATTTAATAGAAATTCATGTGAGGAGGTTGATGTCTTCTAAAATAAAAATAAAAACTTGTGAAGGAATATAATAGTTTCCTTAAATAGCTTTTCCTTGAGTCCTTTGCATAGTCCATCTTTTCCCTTTTTTCAACCATTGAAATTTGTTTTTGATAAAGAATTTCTTTCCACAAGGTTCTAGGTCTCTCCATATTTCTAAATGAGTAACTACATAGGTTTCTGGTTAGTACCTGCCAGTTAATGTAATCAAGTGATACAATTTCAAAGTGAAGGCTATATACCCTGAAATTTCTCTCTCTAGGCTATTTAAATATTAAATTTTAATGTCTGCGTTTCAAAATGATGGTATTTTCTCAATTCATGGAACAAAATTAATGAAATATATAAACTTTGGGTCGCTTTCATACATTGGTTTGAAACAAAAAAAAAGTTTCAATAAAAACGGATCAATTTTTAAGTGGTTCTTGGGAAGCAAAATCCCTTTAAGGCCTCTGTTAACCTTGCCACTTCATGTGAACTGTTTGGAATACTGAATGATTCTAATCATTTGCCCACAGATTATGTCATCTATTATAGTTCATGTAGTGTTCTCTGCCCTCTGCAGGCTGTTTCAGTCATAATCAAAAGGCGGTTAACAAAAGACTCACAGTATTTTAAACAGGTATTTTCTGAGTTTTTCTAGAGGCAAGTTAAGTTTTAAAAAAAGATCTGCCACTTAAAACAGGGTGTTGCTTATAAAAATTACTGTTGAGCTGTCAGCTGTCATCTATGATTTATATATTTAAAAAAATCTACAGTTCCAAGCTTCAAGCTAATTGAGTAAAAATTGTCATTAATATAGCATGTTTAAAAGTGCTGGAAATTGATGGATTTATCTCCATTTTTGGAAGATTGTCACATTTCTCTGAGATATTGAAGAAACTACTGGTGTACTTCATTCTAATTTGTCAAGAAAGATGGTCCAGCTTTAGCTATGTGATGTTCTATCTAGACAGTAGCTCAGAAACTTCCGTTTTCCTGCCATTGAGGCCTGTTTTGTCCTAGCTGGTGGCAGAAAAACTGCTCTTGGATTTGCCTTTTGGTTTATACAACATTATTCTTCAAAAGCAATCAAGCAGTTAACATTTTGCAATCAATTTGCACTCAGTCCAAGAAAATAGAACAAGGAAGAGGGAAAACATAGAAAACTAAGAAACATCTAGCCTTTACCAAATCCTTCATATTATTATGTAATGAGTTTCATAACAAAGGATATAGTCACTGCGAGACATAGTTCTGCTGTGAACTTCCTTTTAAAAATAATATTAAGAAAGCACTAACAATCTGAAGATATGTTTACTAGCGTTTGAATGTTGTGGTGTATATAACAACAGCTCCCAAAGAAGTAGTTGTTTAATAGTTCTTTTTAAAATTTCTTGAATGTAAAAAAGTTGCTAAGATACATATAATTTCAGAATCCAGAGTATTCATGTTGAATGCAGTGTGATCATTTTAGAAGAACAAAATAATTGACTACTATACTCCTTCATTTCACAGAATGTAACCATTTATTTTATTTTTAAATGTGTGGATCAAAATCAATATTCTGAGTTGTCTGCCTACATAAGACAACATTTAGAGATAGCTTGTCAAAAAAAGTGTCTGCTGTATTTCCTAGGCAACTTGGTTAAAGATACTTATAAATCTAAAGATAGATTATAATATCAGTAACCAAGAATACATTTCATTCTAGTTTTTAAATAATTAACGGTACTTAAGCCTTGTTTGGTTATTTGTTAAATTTGTTTGCCACCAATTTTGGTGCAAGACAACTCTACCTGGCTTACAACACTTGAATAAAACACTCTCTCTCTCTCTCTCTCTCTCTCTCTCTCTCTCTCTCTCTCTCTCTCTCTCACACACACACACACACACACACACACACACTATCACATTAAAATTGCAATAAAGTGCAAGGGATAACTAAAGATGGGGAGAAAAGGGGTAGAATATATGGGGGGGAGGTGGCAACTGCTATTAGTCTATCAACCACCTCCAGTGTGATATTACTGTTTTGGGGCCCCAGATCTTCAGGATGTTGCAAAAAGCAGAAGGGTGGGAGCCAATCTCATCTCGGGGCAAGATGTCCCTTTTCTGATTGTTATTTAGTATTTTGGAAATTACTTGAAGTTTTATTTTTTTTACGTTAGTTTTAATACTTATGTTTTTATTTCTGATAATCCGTACTGAAAATTTGCTGTTTAATAGGGAGAAATAAGATTTTAGAGATGAGTTTATACAACTGGGATGAAATATGGAATGAAGAGATGCTTGCTTTTATTTTACGATATAGTGGTAAATTCTTAGTGTTGATTATACTTTCTGGGGATATAAAGGGAGGTTTTCTTTTTCTTTTTCTGCACTTTTTAATTTTGAATGTATTCTTCATTTGTATAATTTTACTAGTATAATATAATCTTTAAAAAAATATAGGAGAGTTTTTCTTGTTAGCACAAAATACAAAGGAATTACAATATCTGAGGGGCTGCCACAAAGAAGAGAGGGTCAACCTATTCTCCAAAGCACTTGAAGGCAGGACTAGAAGCAATAGATGGAAAGTAATCAAGAAGAGAGCCAACCTTAGAACTATAGGAGAAATTTCCTGACAGTCAATTGGAACAACTTGCCTCCTAAAGTTGCAAGCGCTCCAACACAGGAAGTTTTTAAGGAGAGATTGGACAATCATTTGTCTGAAATGGCACAGGGTCTCCCGTTTGAGCAGGGGGTTGGACTAAGAGACCTCCAGTTCTCTGGTCCCTTCCAACTCTTTTTTTTTTGTTTTGTTTTTTTAAGGAAAACACCAGAGGTACATGTGAAGAAGAGTTTCCCCTTTGGTAGAGAGGATTAATTCGTATATATCTACCATGAAAATTGTTTCAGAATAATGTTTTTCTAGATTTTATTCAACCCAGAAGCACCCCAGTGCTTCTGACTCAAGTGCAAAAACAAAAACAAAAAATTGTGTTGACTACGAATCCACTTTCTTTCCTTTTTTTTTTTCTTTCCTGATGTCTTTTTAAAAATAACAGGTTGTAGAGATGGTATATCTGCATGAGATTATAAAAATAAAGATTGCCGTGCTTGTAAGGGGGAGGGTCGTCTAACAGTTTTAGTGAGCAACAAAATTTCTGTGAACCCCCCCAAGAAAAAAAAATGGCACAAAGACGTCAAAGAATATTCAGAACCTGCCTGGCTTCTAGTGAAAAAGTGTATTTCATAGCAGAGCTTCAGATTGCTGGGCTTTACAAAATGGTGTCAGAAAGAGCAGTTTGAGTAGTTCGACATTTTCATTGCTATTGAGTCTCAATGTGGCATGAAGGATGGTGTTTCTTCATTAGTGAATTTTTTTTCCTAACATTTACCCCACAAGTGCACTAATTGCTTTGTTTTTAATCAAGTGACTATTGGTCCATTGGTTGCAATAGGAATTAACCAATCAGCTTATCCAAACCTGAGATCATAGGCTAAGAAAGAATGACTGACCCAAGTTCACCCAGCTTTCATATGAAAGGCAGGACTAGAATTTACAATCTCCTTTTTTTCCTAGCCTGATGTTTTAACCACTGGACCAGAGTAGACATGTTATTATCTAACAAGTGCCCCCTACATTCTGTCTAGGCAGTGTTCCAAATGTCTCTAAGAAACTGACATCTATTCCCAATTGTAATTGATTTTCATTTATTCTTCAAATACCTGGATGCTAAAATCCCCCCCCCCCCCGCACCTTGTGACACGCTGTTAAACTGTTAATTTGATAAAATACTAGAACATTCTTTCCTGCTCAGTGCTGTACTGTTCATTAAGTCTTATTATCCATCTTATTGCCATGGTAATAGTTTTTGCATACTTAGGTAAATCAGATTCACAGCTGATCCTACTAGTTCTTACATCTCCTCTAAGAAATTTATCACAGTACCACTTCCCTGATGGACCTATATCTTTTGTGAGAATAATATATTTCTCTAGAATCCCTAGATTAGAAAGTAAGAGTCATTCGTAAAAATTTATCTGAATAGTATTTAAAAAAAAACATCAGCACCCAGGAAGATATTGATTGGTTGCATCAACATAGATACATAATCTGTCAGTGTAAAAAAAAACTCCTTAGTATAACATATGTCAAGTAAAACTGTTTTTATTATTTATTATGTTTGTCCATTTTGGCTGCAACCTTATTGCTCTTAATCTATAAAAGTATGAATGGAGATGGAACTGCAGTTTTTGACGGTTTTCAATGTTGGGTTTTTATGGTTAAAAATGTATGTTTTCTTTCAGCTTCCTAGAAAGACTAGACAGTGTCAGTCTGCCTGATTACACGCCCACAGATCAGGTGAGTAAAATGGAGTAACAAATGTGAACTAGTGTGAGAGCCAGCTTTAATAAATTATATGAATTCAAGCAGGCTTAAATTGGGAAATATTGAATTCAATGATCTTTTTATTCATTTATCCCAGCCATAGTTTAACAAGTCATATGTTGTTCCCTTATTGTGTGTCAAGTTGTTTTTGATATTGAGGAAAGGTTTAAGAGGTTTGTGGAGTGGAATTTTGGGATGAAAAGAAAACCAGGTATTCTATGAACAAAGAGTGAAATAATTCTGCAGGTGCCTATCACATTACAATTCTGTGTAATATTTAAATAAATGTCCAGAATTATGTTTGATTTGAATTCATACAGTAATATGTGCTCACTGTGTTAGTTATATGAAATTGTTGATATATCACGTTTCTTCGCAGGCCAAATATGCTGCATTAAAATGGAAAATTTCACAGACCCAATTGTTTTTCATTTCCAGGATCTCTTAAGATGCAGGGTTTTGACTTCTGGGATTTTTGAGACAAGATTCCAAGTAGACAAAGTAAATTTTCAGTAAGTAATAATGATCTTTAATTTGTGTCATGTTTTATAAAACAGTGGAAACAATTAAATGCAGACATAGTTAACTTTTTTTAATTCCAAGGTTTTCTTTTAAGAAATTGCTCATTTATGGCATTCAGGGTAATAGATCAAGACAAGATGTCCAGGATGTTTCTAACATAGGACATTATTTAACATTTGCTAAGTATTTTTATTTGATGTATTAGTCTGTGGACCTTAAATTTAGTATAGAAGATTAGTATAGTACAGAAAATTAATATAAAAACTAATGTTTCTATTAGTTCATATATAATGAGTTAAAGAACAGGAATGTATTAATTGATAGAGCCAATTTAATGGACAACTTTAAAATTTCACTAAATAAGAAAGCTCTTTCATAAATAATATAGTGCACACAGAATATTGTTACTATTATTCCTATTCTTTTGGTTGTAATAAGCTTTTTCTTACCTAATAATTTTAATATCAAAGCTGCCAGTTCATTTTTATGTAGAATATTCTCAAGGATAGTTACTTCTAAGGATTATATTATTATATATTAATAATTGTTGCTCATATCATTCTAATAAGATTGAATACATTGCAAAGTTTCTGAAATTGTTCCTTACACATGGAAACCCCTCTCTATAAGTTGGTTTGCCCAATTCTTTTTATTTAACTTTGAATATAGCTTTAGAATTGCTGTTACATTTGTACTCAGCCACACTAATCCCCTCTATTTTCAGCTGAGCAAATCAACACTAAATGGACACCTATTATTTAGTCTGCCCTTTCCTAAATTTGACCAAAACGTAGCCTTACCTATATTTTGGTCAAATGAGAATTAACTAAAATTTGACAGCAGATATTACAAAAGAATGTTCCATTTTGCTTTCATGCAGTATTTATTGCATTTTCATTTCCATTTGCAAAAGTAAGTGTACATTAAGCAAATGTGATTTTCTTTGTACATTCACAAAGAATAATAGCCTCTGGCTTTCCAACAGCATGTTTGATGTAGGTGGTCAGAGAGATGAAAGAAGAAAATGGATCCAATGCTTTAATGGTAAGAAATGTTTTCACATTCTGTATTTGGTCTGAATGCTTGTTGTTTATTTCTTAAAGTAAATATGTATTATTTTTTATTTATCGGGGCTTATTGTGTCATCCTTTATAAAATCTCATAATTTTGTTTATATGTATAGTTACATTGCATTTATCATCATACATGGGAAGCATAGGTGTTTCTGATTAAGTGTTACTCTTTATGTTCTATCTATGGTATGTTTTTCCTTAGATGTCACAGCTATTATCTTCGTTGTGGCCTGTAGCAGCTACAATATGGTCATAAGAGAAGACAACAACACAAACAGATTGCGCGAGTCCTTAGATCTCTTCAAAAGCATCTGGAACAATAGGCAAGATACCTGCATAAATGAGCTGCATTGGTTTGGTAAAAATGTATCTAGGATGGGTGGAGGATTTTTGTAAAAAATCTGTTAGAACAAATCAAGATGCCTATTCTGATTTTAATAATTGTTGCAATCTTCAGATAAGTACCTGGTTTTCGTAGCATCATTATAAACAGAGGCTGATGAGATGAGACTTAATGGGCTTCCCACTCTAAAGCAGTTTGGACAATTGACTCAATGTACAGTGATTGCATCAGTTTATATTGTTTTTTATGCCAATGATGTTGTCTCAAAGAACCTGTTACATCAATTCAGATTTAATAGATATTTGGTTCCAATGTATATCCCATAACTCCCAGTTGGTCCGAAAAAAGATTTTCCTTCTCAGATGGCTGTTTTCTCTTAGAAAATATAAAAAGCAGGTATATAGATGTTTAACTGTGTTGGATTCTGAATTAATTTTTGGCTCTTCACAGGTGGTTACGGACAATTTCTATCATTTTGTTTCTGAACAAACAAGACATGCTTGCTGAAAAAGTCTTGGCAGGGAAGTCTAAAATTGAAGATTATTTTCCCGAATTTACAAATTACACTGTACCTGAAGATGGTAAGTTTCTTAACTAAAGTCTTGTATGATTCAATGATTGTTTATGAGATTGATTAGTGATTAGATAATTTTTTCTGCATTACATTCTGTCCCTAAGCTGGTTTTCCAGTCGTATAAATCATTGACTCTACTCACCTTGTTGCTGGTCATTCTCCTCTCTTTGCTTCCATTTTCTTAGCATTAGAATCTTCTCCAGAGAGCTACATCTTCCCATAATTTATGCCTTATATTTCAATGATTAATGATTTGTTTATTCACAATATTCTCAGGAGTGTAGTCCAACATCACACTTCAAAAGTATCAAGACTCTGTCTGACCTGCTTCTTCAAAGCCCAACTTTTGTTTCCATTCACACACTGATTGTTCCTTTGCACTTTTGCATATCAGAGTAGTACCATCACCCTAGCATGGATTATTGATCTTTCTTTCTCTAATATTATAATCACACTCATCTACTTTGAATGTAGCTTTCCTTAATATAGATGGCAGCAAATAGGTTGAATAAATAAGGGGAGGGTATTGTCCCTCTTCTTTGCCAACCTGTCCTAGACCCAGTCTGCTTCACTATATTCTGTCTATATTGTGGCTTCCTGATATATGTATTGGTTTTGCGTGAAAATAAAGACACTATGCACACATTTTTAAAATTTATATTGCATACATTTGAATAGATCTATGTTCATTACAGCAACACCAGATGCAGGAGAAGATCCCAAAGTTACAAGAGCAAAGTTTTTTATTCGGGATGAATTTTTAGTAAGTATTGGTGATTTTTTTAGACATTGTGTTAACTTATAAATTTGTTTGAATACGATGTTTTATTTTTCTATAATTTTTCTTTAATTGTTATAAAAGCAATTCTATCTTGAAACCAGTCATCATTGAATTACAAACCATTATAGTCCATTTTTAACTCATCACATCTCTATAAGCTATGCAAAGCATGCCAAAAAAAAGCAGCATGCTACCATAAAATCCTACTTTACTTACCCTCAACATCTTGATTGTGACCATTCATGAAACATTAGCTGCTCATATATTTTTCTGTGTATTTTTTAGTTGTGAGTTGTAATAATACTGTCTGGTTAAGTTTTAGGCAAGTTGGGGAACATCTTTTTTTTGGGGGGGGGGGGGAATCTTTGGAACATCCAGGCATTCCTTAAATAAATAGGTTTAATGCATAAATTTTTGACATATTAGCTTGAGATGGTGCTACACTGACCAGTCTTCCCGCATCTTGTTGTCATTTCCCAGAAGTGCTTTTATCCAACTTTGTTTTCACCGACTTTTTCCTTATCTCTTACAGCGAATAAGTACAGCAACTGGAGATGGAAAGCATTATTGCTATCCACATTTCACATGTGCAGTTGACACAGAAAATATTCGAAGAGTGTTCAATGATTGTAGAGACATCATTCAGAGAATGCATCTTCGCCAGTATGAACTATTGTAATTAAGGACACCTTGGAGTCGGTGGTTTTAAGCATCTTTCTTTCTTGGCTTCCTCAGATGAAGTAGAGGAAGAGATATTAGATCCATCTGCCTCCTCAGTTCGTTTACTTTTATTAGACTTTCTAGCCAGCCCATGCTTTAGGGACAATATGTGTGTTTTATTTTTATATGCCACTTCTTTGTCATTCCACTGAAGTCTTTGGCTACCTCTGTTTCCTTTGGTTTTGTTTGTAAATTTTTGTTTATGTTTAATTAATTGGACATAGTCTGCTAATTTTTTTTCAGCAGACTTGTTAGTTCAAGCTGGTATCTGCTAGTTAGATGACACTGTGTCATACCTAGAATGTTTTTGGAGGGTTCCTTTTGTGTCATGACACTGAAGAGTACTTGAGAGAAAGAAAGGGAATAATGCACTTTGCTTCAGAATTAGAAAATACTGTTGGGGATGTATACATGCATGATGTAGCAGCACTATGATATTTATTACACTAAGTTTTTAACGAACTGAGTTGCAGGTCAACTGATGAAGTGACCTCCTCTTCTAAGCCATTGCTGGCCCAGGAATAGAGTAGGTAAGCAATTTTGGGAGGTTTGGAGCTATGAGTCTCTCTACACCTCAGGCTTTTGAATTTAGAGCTACTTTTTCAGCCTATTGCATTTAGGCAGAAAATTCACCTTCACATACCATATTTCTTCTGTCCACAAATGATTCAATTAATTTAGATCATTTTTGGACATCAGTCTTCTATGAAAATATAAATATATATATAATATATATATAATATATAATATATTTTTTTTGTTTTACTGCTGGTTTATTATATTGTACAGACTGTAAAGTGTAATATTATTTTGTACAATTTTATTGAAGAAAATACTTGTAGAAGATCTTTGTGCCTTGATTATGGCTGTACCTGTAAAATGAGCTAAGATGTAAGTATGTTTTTGATTGCGCTGTACAGCTTGATGTCAATTCTACCTACAGCAGTGACTGGAGGTTTGAAAAAAACTCTGTAGAGTTTAGGGTTTTTTTCTGATTTATATAAAATGTTCTTTAGTATAAAAATTATAAATTATGCAAATTTTAGTCATATTAACTTTCCAAGTAAGTAATTGCTGCTACTGTGGCAGCAATAGCCTTTCAGACTCAGCTTTAAAAATTGATTTAAGTGTCCAAATTGCAACCTGGTGTTAGTTTCATGGGAATATCTTGTTTTACCTTTAAAACTATGTTCAGTAATTCTTTGGTCATTCATAAACCGTTCACAATTACAGATTGTGAATGTGTAAAGGCACCATTAGATAAGTTTTTTTTTTCAATCTTTGTTGCAACAGCTGCTTTTATTGTGCAAATTGCAAGAAAGAAAAAGGTGTAATCCTTGTGTTTGGCCTAAGAGAATTACAAAATGACGTATTTATTTCTCTTAATAAACAGATCATAGAAAATGGTTTTATTTTAAATATTGTAGAATCATAATGTTTTTTTCAAACTTGAATAATTTATGCAAATGACATTCACAAAATAAGTTGTGGTACAGTTCAGCATAAAAGCAAGAATTGGTGTAGCAATAAGGCATGCCTTTCTCAGTAACTATGAGATTGTTTTATATTTTATACATAGGCATTATGTCAGAGTACAGTTTCCAGTGCCTGAGAAAATCTGTACGAATATTTAAAATTTGTAGATGCAATAACAAATTCAAAACTTCATAGATTATAACACTTAGCTTTATCTTTGCCTTTTGCTATGAAGATAAATTACTCTTAAAATATTTTGATGGCATAATGTGAAACTATTTTTAAATTAGGAAGGCATGTTTATTGCATATATAACCCCAGATCACTTTTAGAAACTGAGAAACAATTGTATCTCTGCAAAAGAATCAGGCTAGTAATCTGTCAAAATACTCTGATTTTAAAGCATTTTAGATCCACTCTGAAACTGGTACTTTGACATACTGTATTCAGTCATAACCTTGTTCTGTTTCCAAGATGATTGAAAGACATTTATTTTGATATGATGAAGACATACCAGTCTAAAGATTCATATTTCCTCTACAAACAAAGCAGTGAAAATGTAAACTACTGCCTGTTTAAAAAAGTGGATGGTTATGTTATTGAAAGGAATGGGGTAGTTATTATAATTCTATCCCTTCTTCTTTGTTTGCTGCAAATGTCACAGATTATATTCTATTGTTCGGACAATTTTAATCGAATCCCCTCCAAATGGATTCTGTTTACAACTTCCAGAACTCTTTCCAGCATGCCTGGAAATTTTGGGATCTGTTGTCTCAATTCTTAGATGGGCAACATAGCTGAGGAAGGCTAACCTAAACTCTTCTTTACAGAATAAAATTCTATTTAAAGTTTATATAAGTAGATGAAGAAAACCAAGTCTATAAATTTCTGCAGCTTAATTTATAATGCTTCTTTAAGTTGCATACTTAAGCACTTTTTTAATGCTATTAATCAGATAGGATTTAAACATTTAGGAATGGAATGCAAAGTTTCTGGTAAGGTTTATTTTTCTTGGGGTAAAATAGTCAGTCATGCAAACTGAGTCATACCATAAAAATTCTGTGTGAATCTTAACAGTAGTTGTTTACATCTTATTCCAGGAGAAATGTTCAACCAAGCTTCAGTCCATGTGTTCATGGATACAGAGTGCACACCCTTATTCTGAATGTGCAAGGGACTTCTCAGTTTTCTACCTGGTTTGCCAATACTCTGCAAACTCATTAGCAAAGGGTTTTTGTTGTTGTTGATGCTGTCACATGACTACCATCTAAAACTATTTACATCTAATTTAAAAGTGACTCACAAGGGTAGAAAATTATGTCAGCTATTATAATTATGTTTTGCTTCTGTTTTTGGTAATACCTTGCTGTAAAATAACTACATCTTGTATTGCTGATATCAAGGAAATGAAGTACCACTTCAGATGGTCATGCAGCAATAACACTTTAAAATTCTTTTTCTATGACAAAGACTGAGCCTCTAACAGCATAGGGCACTAGTGCAGACACAAAAGGAGGCTTGTAGAGCTTAGTGTACAGTTACAAACTTTTAATATACATATTTGATACAAAAAAAACTTTAGCAAGAAAACCATTCGTTTGATTGTAGATTACAATATTTTTGTACAGCATGAAGCAGTTACTTTATCCTGTAGTAAAAAAAAAAGTCCTATCAACTGTCTAGAGCTTTCTGTCTGTAAGAGCAGTTTGCCTTTGGGCTAGCAATTCAAGTACACATTTGCTGGCATGAATGTAGTCTGATGGATTGTTCTTTAGCTTTGGTGTGTCAGTGACTGATTCCAAGTGTCTGACTTTTCATAGTGCTTTATATTTAGTGATTAAACGCTGAACAAAATGGTAAGGGGAAAGAAGGGGCTGAAAGTGAGCCAGAATGAGGACTACCAGCACGCATCCTGCTGTACAGTAAATGGCTATTACTGTGCTCTCATATGGAAGAAAGCACTTGTAGAGGGAGACCTCTGTTGATGTTATGCTGCCCTGGAAAATGGAAGCAAGAGTTTAGAAAGTCTGAGGCAAATGGCTGTAGATATTGAAGATTCTATTAAGGAAGAGGGAAGTTGAGTTCTTCTTAAAGTAGCAGTACTTTCAATTGTTCATGGTCCAAGTGATGCAGACAACTCTGAAACTTCTAATGGTAGTTGTTTTTGCAAATTAAGCACTGAACTGCCCTGTGTGAACATTTTGTGCCATGTAAAAAAGGACCTTCCAGAATACAACAGGTGTTGTTTGACCGGACAAGGGAAGACTTATATAGTTAACAGCTTAAAACCCTTAATTATACTAATGGTTGCTATATAATTGGGGGAACCAAGCATTTGAAATTGCATGAAATAAAATACAGCGTAGCTCTATTCTTATAGAATTGGGAAGGGAGTGGGATTATGGATAATCTAGCCCCATAGATAAGCATCCACATGTCAAGAATGCTAGAAACATGATCTGCTAGATTATTTGTTAAATAAGGACTTTAAGGAAAATATAGGTGAAAGTATTGCTTCTCAAGGAGAACAATTTAAAGTCACATTACCTAAAATGAGACAAATTTTCATCTATGAAGTAAAAATTACAATAGAGCTATAATTGCTTTGCCTTTCCTGAAGCTCAAGGAACTGAAAAAGTAAAGTTAGCATAGAACCAGGTCTGAAGATAGCAACATTTAAAACAAAGCTTAGAACCAAGAATATTTTTTTTGTGCTCCGGGTTTATTAAGAATTGTAAACTAGTATACCCAAAGCAAACTGTGAATTAAGTTTCTCTGAATAGAATTTTGCTGCCCTATGATATAATTTGCACTTTTGAAAAACAAAGAATCCCAGAGGGAAAAGATGGTCTTGTGAATAAATCAGTCAAGCAAAAACAAGTCTCGATACTGTTTGTTGCAGACTACTGACGATTGTTGTAGTCAGATTGTTTACATTGCATCCTCTTTATAGAAACGTACTAAATATGCTTGTGTTTAGAATTGTAGACCATAAACCTTACTTTGCACTCTACAAGCTTGATGGCTCTCCATGTGTATGTGCTTTATAAAGCGGGTGCTTTGTATTCAACTTAAGTGTACTTTTGGAGAGGATGGAAGGAGCTGTTCTGTTTTGCTTTTTTTTTTTTTTACAGGTAGCATCAGTCTGAGAAAATAGCTGATTGCTATGTTGATTTATATTATGGAAAAATATCTGATAAAATAAACATTATTTAAATTTACCATTATGAAACTAGGATTGTTTCTGTTCCTCCAACTGAATGATGGAACACTGATTTCATGAATGTTACCATTATGAAGCACTTCACAGGCACTATGGGTATGGCCACTCAGTATCAATCGAGGACGAAACCACCACAATAGCTATAAAGTAGAATAAAACAGCACTGTTACCATTTCTACTTTAAGAAATAACCCCGCCACACAGCACACCTTGCTTTCAGCTTCCCCTCGGTCATTTTAATCATTCTAATTTATTAATAATAAATACTAACTTATTTGAGTTGTTATCCATCCATCCATAAAATACTATCAGATCGCCTCAGAAATACCAGAAGTAACTCAATGTTGACACATAGCTGATTCCAAAACACTTGTCCACATCCTTGGGAGAAGAATGGTTCAGCATTACCCAGGAATATTTGGACTTGGTAGGACTCAGGGAACATAATGGTTGAATTCACTTTGGCATATCATGAAGAAATAAGCATGATAGGAATAATATGCTTGATGATTTCCACCGCCAAGTTAAAATACTTTTTGCTTCATAGCGGTCCTCAAATATGTTGGATCTCAGATTTCAAACTTTCCCACCCAGCAGAGCTTTGAGCCACAAAGACTGAGAATTGCAAAAAATGTTTTGCATGGTTTCTTGGTTCAAATTGGAGGCTCTGGCAAATTCTAACAACCAGAGCATAGTTTATTCTTAGCTATTTAGGTTGTTTGGGAGAATGAAGCTAGGGATGATAGTTTCCACATCATAAGTGGTTTATTTAGTCACTGCTTTCATGACATATGAGGAAGCAGTTGAACAGTATACCCAAGCTCAACTGTTCATTTACACTCAATTACCATGAATGACTCTACTTAGCCTGTTCCCTACCCTTTGTCTATTTGTAGGCAGTGAAACATACAAGCGCTATATTTAAAGATATAATATCTATTTTCCTGAGGATATCCCTCAATAGATTCTTCATTATCAAGATTCTTCATTGGAACTCATTAGTAATGTGATGGCCTAGACCAGGGGTTTCAAACTCAAGGCCCGGAGATCAGATCCTGGAAACAACAAAGAACTGACCCACAGTGCTTCTGCCAATGAAAATGGAGCGCGGGAGGGCCACACCGTTTTCACTGGCAGAGGGTTGCAGGAAGCCGTGGCAGCTGAAAATGGAGCTTGGGAGCCTGTTTTCTCTGGCAGAGTGCTCGGGCCACAGTACCCCCAACACAAGTGAAGTCAAGCTGGCCATGCCCACCCTGCACCCTGGTGCAGCCCTCAATGAAATTGAGTTTGACACCCCTGACTTAAGACAGATGGAGTTACAGGGATTTTTTCAGGAAGCTAAAGCAGAATTCCTAACCTACATCACCTGCAATCCAACTCAGAACAAAGGTGTACAGTTTTGACTCCTAGTACACTTGATTGCAAAGTAAGCTCTACACTTTGCACAACCTAGGTCTTCTTTAAATAGATTGGTATCACTGAAAACTGGTGAATGTTTTGTAAGCAAATACAGTAAAAAAGAAAACTTCCCACATATGGTATGGCATCTTTCTTTAACAATGCA